ATTTACAGTTTCAGCAGGCTGGTCGTTCTCTTCTACATAATTAAAATCAATATTAAAACTACCTGGATTTTTTAAAGTAACGCTTTCATTCTCATTAAAATCTACATCGCTGCTAATGTAAATTTTATTTGTGCTATTATCCCACAATCGATAATTTGTTGACTCACCCTCGTAACCAACAAAAAACACTTTTCGGGATTTTGGATCAAATTTATGTCGTTTTTGTTTTGGTATATTTAGGTACGCCAGTGACCCAAATATTTTCAAGTGTTTTACCTGCGGTTTAAAACCAAACCATTTCTCAAAGGGGGTTGTATTTTCAGAAGGTTGTAAAATGACCCTATTAAGAACATAACAGACAGTGTTAATAGCCTCCGGCCACAAGTTATGATCTATGTTTCTTGCTAAAAAAATAGATGTTGCAGTTTCTGTTATTGTTCTTATTTCGCGCTCAGCTCTGCCATTTTGTTCATGAATATACGGGGAGGAAAATTCATGTACAATTCCTTGTTTACGAAGATAGTCGCTAAACTCTTTGGATGTGTATTCTGTCCCATTGTCCGATCGTAGTACCTTTATATTAGTTTTAAGCTGATTTAAAACAAATGCTTCAAATTCTTTAAATCTTCCAAAGACTTCAGACTTGACGCAAAAAATAAACTTTTCGAAACGACGTGCATTCGTCTTTAAACAATAAGAAATATTTTGTACCGCGAGGTGACTCAATATTTATAGGTCCACAAACGTCGGTGTGGATCTTTTCACCTGGTGGAAGCGTGCTGGGCCCATAACCTGTTAAATATTTATTGGAATAAATAAATAATTCAACTAGCTCAGAGCGAAATCAATGTATGTTTATTATAACAAATAAAAGTGTAAAAGTACAGAAACGAAAATGTAGAACAAAGTTAAAAAACAACTTGCTGTGCCGACGATATACAATCAACTAACTTTAAAAGATATACCCTAAAGTATTGCTTACACTAGTAATATGTGACAAAAACCATATGCTAAACATTCAAAGAAAGTGACCACCCAAAATGTCTCTTTTGCAGTAAAAACTTAAAGCAGATGTGAAAATAATCAACACATAAATTCAAAATATAAATGCAACATATTTTAACACGTTTACTGTTTTTAAATTAACAACAAAAGTTATCGCTCCTAAATCTATTGATATTCATATTTATATTTATTTGTTAGAATGGTAGAATGTTATTGCATTAAATACTAATTTGGTTTATTTAATAACGTTACTATTGTATGTATACTATGTATACATTTAACGCAATAAATTCTTTGACATTTAGACAAAATATTTCCCTATTTTGGTTTAATAGTAATTAATTGAGCAATTAACAATTTAGATTGCTTTAATTTTAATGCATTCAATGACAGCGCTATTCTTGGTACTATGTTAGATTTTTTTCTGTGTAGGTAGTTCCATATTTGTTTGTTTAAGAAGTTGGGTATGTAGTATTCGTTTATTTTTAGTACTAAGGCCTCCCTACATACAGTTTCATACGCTTTTTCTAAGTCTATGGTCGTTATACCCGTTACTGTATTTAGATTGTTGTTAATCATAATTTTGTCAACTAGTCGTCCTAACTGTAGTTCTGTGCTCTTTCCCCTTGTGAACCCGAACTGCTCGTCTATTATAATGTGTCGTCCATTGATTTCGTTGTTGAGTCTTTTAAGAATTAGTTTATCTAGGAGTTTACCTAGACTACTCAGGAGGGCTATAGGTCGGTAACTGTTTATGATTGTCGGATTTTTTCCTCTTTTTAAAAGGGGTATGAGTTTAGCATTCTTACAAATAGGGGGATAATATTATTGCTTAAGGCAGTTATTAAAAATATAATGGATTTGCAGGATCATTTTTAAGGGCAGTTGTTTTAAGATGCGGTTTTGGATTCCGTCCTGGCTGGGTGCTTTTATGGGCTGCAGTTTTTTCAGGATATCTTTGAGGTCTCTCGGCGATGTTTGGTATTCGGTCGGTAAAGCATAAACTGTTCCCTCTAAAGAGGCAATTTTGCGGTTGACTCTGTCGGTAGTGTGTTGGTCAGGGAGCGGATCAAAGTCTTGCCTTATAGTTGTGAAATGATCGGCCAGCACGTTGGCTTTCTCATTAGTCGACCTGTGCCTTGCTCCCTGATTCTTGATCACCCCCTGTACGTGCCTTGATCATTTTCCAAACATACCCGCGCTTATCGACCTCCTTTCAGACTCTGTTATGCTATACGTTGCAGGACAAAATCATCGTTTTGATGAGGTCATTGAGTTCCCTTATTTCTGCAGACCCATCCACATTCCGGCCATTCCGTTGCCATCGCCGCCTTACTCGATTTGGAATATTTGCCTCGCGTCCTGTATGATTTTTTGGATTTAAGCTTCATTCAGAACCTCAAAATTAGTGGAAAAAATTAGTGGTTTCAATTATACACAATGCGCAAAATTAAGATCTAAAATTAAGGGATTTAGCTAAAAGATTGCCCATTCTTCTTAACCTGACATAAACAATATTAATTATATTAAAATTATATTTTTTACAACCATTACAATAATATTTATATAACCTTTACTTCGCTGGCAAATCTTCAAACTTTTTTTGCTTTTGACATGCGCACATGTGCAAAGCCGCTTTCCAATTATAATTAGTGGTAAAAGTTAGAAGTTTGCAAACTTTTTCCACTAATTGAAAAGTACTACCACTAATTTTTTGGTTGTGAACAACACTGTGTATATTCATAAGACAAACTTTTACGTTAATTGAAACCACTAATTTATTCCACTAATTACGAGGTTCTGAATGAGGCTTTAATCTTTTTTGTTGTTGAATTGGTTTGTATTATTAAAGTCCCTTTTTATTATAAGTTTCCTATAAATTTTACTTTTAAAATTCGCCCAGTTAGCCCTAGAGTAGACTTTAAAAGTCCTAGCTTTTAAGTGTTGCCGAGCGTTTAGTGTTATTTCCGTTTCGATGGGTAGGTGGTCCGAGCACAGATCATTATAATATAATATAATAATAATAATAATAAGGTGTGAAGGTGTTTAAGATATGTACGTTTTTTGAGATGTTCATGTCTAGGATTGATGGCGTCTGTTGTCTGTTGGTTGGTACGTAAGTACTGTCGGTGGGAATGACTATTTTTAAAAGTTGTTCGTCAGCGTACTCCAATAATTGATTGCCCCTTTGGTTTGTTTGTCGGCATCCCTAGGCTTGGATTTTAGCATTGATGTCGCCCAGTAAAATAACTTTTCTGCCCAGGTTTATTATAATGTCTATGTCATTGGTGCTACTAACGTTAAGTCTTGGATTCGTATTGCAACTTTTTCCATGTATGTTGTGTTTGTTTGGATTTCCTCAAAAGAAATGCCGTAAACGGCTATTCCTCCTCCGTGCCGGTCGCGGTTTTTAAAGGTGTGTTTGTATCCTGTAATGTAATTGGGGCATTGACTATGCAGATCACCTGGTATTCGTACTCTGTCCTTCCGATGAGATTTTTAAGTTCTCCCATTTTATTTCTTAGCCCGTTGGCATTCCATGTTAGTATTTTTATACTTTTAAGGTGTCTATCCATTTTAATTTAGAAAGAATTTGAACATTATCATTTTCCTTTCTGCAGGATCGGCCTTTATTAGTTTTTGGTTAAGTTTTTTTATTTCCCATAGAATTTCGTCCAGGTTTACTAGGGATTTAAGTGTTGCCATTGCGTTTTTAAATTCTTTATATTGGTTACCTGCCGTTTGACCTTCACTATTTTTGACTGCCTCGCTGTAGTTTATTTTTCTATTTTGAGGTATGGGGATTACTGTTCTTGTGTTTGCTGGGAATTCCTTGTTATTGTTTGTGTACGTTGTTTTTAGCAGTTCTTTTTTAAGCCCATTGTTTCTTTTTGTTTCAATATTATTGAAGTTTTGGGCGATCACCGAGGCAGTTGCTACATTGGGCCTTCGATGTATCTGTTTTCTTAATGCTACATTCTCTTGTAGCGTGGTTGCCAATGCATTTAACACACTTTTTTTGTGACATGTTGACTGCCCGTGTCCATTTGCAGCTTATTGGTTCATGCTTCGTACTTCCTTAAATTCTTTTAGGTTTGTTGCCTTGGGAGCCGTGATTAGGTATGAGTATGCAGGGTCCTGGCCTTTTCTTTTAAGTGGGACAACTTTTTCTAAGTTAATGTTTAGGAGTTTTAGTTATTCTTCGACCGTCTCTTTTTTCATGTTTGGGGCCGCTTTTAGCACGATCTTTTTAGTTTTGGCTTCCCGTTTGCGGTAGGTGAAGAATTCTATTTTAGACTCGTCTAGCGCTTTTATTAGGGCGTCGCGATGTGCACATCGCGAAACGCAAATGAGGCCTCGTTTGGTTATGACTGATTCGTCAGTTTGTTGTCCAGGGCCTCCTAAAATTAATAAAAAAATCTTATTCTAATTGTAAATGCAATTAATTTCAATAAATGGCGAGATCGTCAGTTCTGAGCTCATTTTTGGTATACAGTGTGTCCGCGTAAGTTCTGTACATATGGGAAACTTTTTTACTAAAAAATTTACTCCATATAAAAAGTTCTGCTTCCTCAAAAAATAATATTACCGTTAAAACTTAAAATATCATGTGCAGGGAGCTCATAAAATAGGAAAATGTAAAATTGGCCCCTTAATTTTTATTTTAGAGCAAACTAAAATTAGGAAATGGTGCTTAGAATGTAAAGTTATTTATAAGTTTAATTAAACCTAATTTTGACACAAATTAAAAATTAAGTAAAAAATCTTAAGGTATAAAATAAATTGTATAGATATTGGATGAAAATGAAGTAAAAGGAAAAAAGAATTAAATACGCTGCGGTTATATTATTGTTTATTCTTCCAAGTTTCCAAAACATTATAGAGCAAAAAAAGAATCTTTTATACCGGCTTTTGAAATTAAAAAAATCTTTGTATTGTATTTAATTGTAAGAAGTTAATATTATGTTTAAATAATAAAGATCCTTTATTTTAAGAAAAAAGGCAACAACTATGAGCAGAGATTGGTAATGTTTACTTCGGAAGAATGTCATTATTCTATATACAAATTTGCTTCATTTGTGGGTATCGGAGAAGAAAACGTAATCCCTGCAGCTGTAGATGACAAAGGTCAAATAATCTCTTCTGATTTGGAAATGAAAATTAAGCAGCAAAAAGACAACGGAGCAGTACCTTTCTTGGTAGTAGCCACGTTAGGTAAGTGGAAAATAAAACACAAGTAACTTTTATTTTGATAACTAATTAAAAAACTATTACCTAAAATTAAATTTGCACTCATTTACCCATGCAAAAACATAATTCATCCGTATGACGGGTAAGTAGGATTGTCGGTTTCGGCCTGTATTAAAAACTTTTAACTCGGAAAATTTTAATTAAACCGGGTTTAAATGCATAAAAAATTAAAATATGCCTGCAATAAAAAAGACAAAACAAAAGAAAACTGCCAGCTGCACGGCGGCGAACGAGTTGTGTTATATAAATACAGACAAATGCTTTTTATTTTCTGTAAAATCATTATGAAGCTTAGAGTTAAACTTTTGTAATCCATTAAACTGTTCTCTGAAAGAGATAAAGTGCTCCAATTAAAGAATAAATTTCCGTTTATAATTAAACAGTAAAGCGCTCAAAATGATAAAATTTCTAATAATTTATTTTATATAAATTAGCTATGGGATGTTTAATATTTATCTTGCTTCTGAGAAAATAAATAAAGTTTCATATAGCAATGCAATTTAAATGAAATTCAATGAAAACAAAAGATTTTACAAGTTTTATATATCTTATTATTCTTTATTAATAATTCCATATAAAATTATTTCTTTTAAATGTAATTTCTGAAATACTTTTCATATTTTATTTTGTGATTATAAATAGCATTTTATTTTAAAATACTCGTATTAAATAATTAAATTAAAAGAAATATTTATTTTCCTATAAACTAAGCAACGCAAAAGCATAATAACCAGGGGCGTAGCTTAGGAAGGCCCATGGGTGTAGCCAACCCCCGTTTCAGCAGGGGGGGCAAAAGGATCTGGACTTAAAAAGCATTACCCCTGGATCTCAAGAAAACAAGTAATCATAAAAAACAAAATCTAAACTTTTAATCAATATTTTCGACGGATAATTGAATGGGCTAACGATTTAGTAGTGTCCATGCCAATAATATTTTTTACAGGCCTTCCAGGGGGGGAAAACCATAACTATAAGGGTTTTCTGACTTACTAAAATTTGAGGTTACAATTTTTAAAAACCCAATGGAGGACTTAAAATGGCCGCCCATTTTGTTAAAATTAGTATAAGAGGGTTTTCGAGTTCGAGGAATTAAAACTCGAACTCATTTTTTAAATCAACATGGCTCACTAAAAACGACCGACTATTTTAATAAAACATTTTGCAATTCTCGTAAAAATCAGTACTAATTTATTGAAGATGGCAATAAAGTCAAATAAGACGAAAAACAAATAAAATTATTGTTTCTCAGCTTTCTAATTCAGAGTTGCATAGCTAAAAATATGTTTTTTTAGCCTGGCAAGTATTGGCAAGAAAGTTATATTAGGTTGTAATCACAGATAAAGACAAAATATAATACCGACATAAAAATCCTTCTCACCTTTTTAATTCGGAGTTACATAGCTAAAAAAATGTTTTTTTAGCATGGCAAGTATTGGCAAGAAAGTTATATTAGGTTGTAATAACAGATAAAGACAAAATATAATAACTACATAAAAATCCTTGCCAAACTCTGACAAGTTTTTATAACTCTATTTAAACCTTTTTTTAAACAAACACAATCTATTCATATTTAAACCAATTAAAAAAAGGTGCCTTGAATTACTTCTTTATGTTTATATAAATGAGTATGAGTATGAGTATGGGAACGTATGGCAGGCCCCATTGACATTATCTTACACTAATCTCCCAGGTAGTGATGCCGCGAGACGAGACGAGAAAAGTCCTTCTCTCGTCTCGTGCAGCGAGAGAAAATCGGTCTCTCGTCTCTTCGAGAATACTCTTTTCTCGCTCGAGAGTGCCTTTCTCTCGTCTCGTCTCGTTTCTCTCGTGATAAAAGTACCTAAGTATGAATACAAAAATTATTTGGAATGAAATACGAATTCCTTTATATTTTTTTATATAAAAATTTAAACTGGAAATAAAAAAAAATGTTTGCCAAGACCGCACTAATAAAGTAAGACTTTTTACGCCGAAAATGTGGCGCATTTGAATCAAATGGTTGGATCTATGTGGAGTAGTTACATCTAGTATTATACTTTTAAGGCACTCTCGAGCGAGAAAAGAGTCCTATAATAGGTGTTTCTTTTAACTTGAGACAGCTCAATACACTGTTTAAAATATCTGTGGTGTAAAAAGTAATCTTAAAATGGTGTCAAAATCCAACACCAAGTGGTGTTAATATAACACCATGAATCATGGTTGAAAATGTGATGTTCTTAAATCTCGCCTTTGTTGACTTACATGAAGAATATATAAACTCAGGTAATCCTTTGCTTTAGTGTGACACCACAAGTTGTTCGATACTAAAGAGACCTTAAATAGGTAGAAACAGCTGTCAATACTTGAAGTATTTTAAGTTAGTGCAACGCACTAAAAACATTATCTCTAGCGAGTTGAAGGTTCCATTTTCTGGAATAATACCACTGGTAATATACTAGTAATGCGTCAATGAACTTCCTGTTTCCTTTTTTTTTCCTTTTTTCTGTGTAGTATGATTTAATTTGTCTACAAACACATAATATTTAACACTGAAAAGGAGTTTAATTTACACCAAGTAAAATTTATTTTAATACTGTGTGAAAGTTAAATTAACACCATTTTAGTATTTGAATTTACACCGGACCAACGAACCTTATTTAACACCATTTTGGTTTGTATCGATATAGACTATGTTTGGTGTTAATTTGGTGTTAAAATGGTTATGAAATTTTGAACAGTGTATCTCGTGAAATACGCATTTCACAGAAAAATGTCCTAAATAAAAGGTTAATGTGACCAAAGGGGACATTATTTGGTGCTACCGCTAGCCACCCCCTACCCCTCCTTAAGGGTGAAACGGGGGGTAACTTTAGAAAGTCAAATGGAATGACCCAATTTTTTTCACAGATTTTGGTAGTACATAAAAAATGAATAACTTTTATTTGAAACTTTTTTTCAATTTATAAAATTTTACATCCATTAATTACGTAAGGTGTTTAGGGGGGGGTCGAGCCAAACCTCAACCAATCTCACATGGGGGGGAGGGTGGTCTCGGAAAATATCATGTATTTTTTTCTTTTCGAATAAAACAGTGTAAAATTGCGAGAAATCTGGGTTAAATTAAGTAAACAATTATAAGCAAATTGTTTCTTTTAAAAAATCTAATGGAATCAAGCACACATTAACTTATTTACATTAAAACCATGCATTTAAAAAAATCTCACGTGAGATTAAGGGAGGAGGGAGGGGGTCGAGCAAAATCTCAAGACATCTCACCAAGGGGAAGGGGGGAGTCGAAAAATCGCCAAAATTGCCTCACGTAATTAATGGATGACCCCAAATGTATTATTTGAAACGTTTGAAAAACAAAAATTAACATTAAATCAACAATAGTCGGCTCTGAAAACAATTTATAACAAATGTTCAAAATGTCATCCTTTCATTTCGACACATTTTTGAATGCGGGTAATGAATTCTGGCTCCACCATGTCCTCCCGAGTTGTAGGAATTGCAGCGTAAACTTTTTCTTTCAAGTAACCCCACAGGAAGAAGTCTGACAGATCGTTTTCTAGAAAATTCTGGTACTTTTCACCATTTAATGCCGTTCGCCAAAGGTACCGCACCAAACGTTTACCGACCAGGGACGCTGGTGCTCCACTTGGTGTCGAAATAAAAGTACGACATTTCGAACATTTGTTATAAATTGTTTTCAGAGCCGACTATTGTTGATTTAATGTTAATTTTTGTTTTTCAAACGTTTCAAATAATACATTTCTTAAATTTTTAATTACAGTTCTGTTGATAAATTGAAAAAGTTTCAAATAAAAGTTATTCATTTTTTTATGTACATACTACCAAAATCTGTAAAAAAAAAGGATTATCCCATTTGACTTTCCAAAGTTACCCCCCGTTTCACCCTTAAGGAGGGGTAGGGGTGGCTAGCGGTAGCACCAAATAAAGTCCCATTTGGTCACATTAACCTTTTATTGAAAACATTTTTCCGTGAAATGCGTATTTCTCGAGATATTGAGCTCTCTCAAGTTAAAAGAAACACCCTGTATCGGCGCAGTAGTTTTCAATGGATCAAATCATATGATCCATCCATCTGAAAACTACTGCGCATATATGATGTAGTAGTAGTAGTAGTACGGTTGGGTAGGCTCGAAGCCTGACAATTAGACTCCATGGTCCTTTTTATCTGCCCCTCCTAAACCAACCAAACTACTCCTCATCTTCCTCTTCGCCCATACCAGCCCTTTCGAATCTTCCAGACCTTCTTATAAAGGTCAGGATATCCTGCCAACTCTTCCCTTTGGAGTGTCATCACTCCAAAGATTTTATACCTTAGTCTGCCGAGGGCCTTACATTGTCCCAGGAAGTGAACGGAGGTTTCATCCTCCCTTCCGCACTGGGTACAGGAGGGGCTGGTTTCAGCCCCTATTCTCGTGAGGTGTTTCCTTAGGCCATGACCCGTGAGTATGTTCACAAGTGGGCCCAAGGAGGTTCGGCTCCTACCTAGAAGCCAGATGGATTTGGGTTTGCTTAGGGTGACCAGGAAATCTCTGGTCTGCCTACAGCCACCGCTTCTTCTCCAGCTTTCATTCGCCCTTTTATCAGCCCAATTATTTAGGGCTGATTTGACCTGCTTTCTCGTAATTTCAAAAATTGGTTCGGGTCCTACACAGGGGGTTTCAGATCCCAATCTGGCCAACTCATCAGCCCGTTCGTTACCTTCAACCCCACTATGACCTGGTACCCATACGAGATGCACTCTTTTTGTACTTGCTAGCTTTTCCAGCGCTTCCTCACACTCTTGAACCAACTTCGAGGTGGTTCTCGTTGCCCAAAGCGCTTTCAGAGCTGCTTGGCTATCTGAGCAGATGTATATATCTGTCTCACTCCCTGTTCTTATATCCTCACAGTTTGCAACCTCAAGTATGGCGAACACTTCCGCTTGAAAGACAGTGGTATATCCTCCGAGCGGG